GTGTGTGTCAATTGCTTGCATCCGGCTTCTGCTACGTGTCATCGGACCCAGCTGCTCCTGCCGTGCTAGAGGCAAGGTGCCTACTCCCGTGTAGGGGGTCCCTTTAAGTGTTTCAACAACTTCCTCCACTCCCGTCCTCCAGGTGGGCGTAGCCCTTTCTATTCCCCCCCGTCCGAAGCGTGCTGGTTCCTTTCTTCCTCCTTCTTTCACCACTCAAGCATGCCATTTGATTCCCCCCCATGGGGGCTGTCTCTAGTCCTCCATCCTCCCCCCTCTCACTCACTCTCTCCACCCCACCCCCTCCCTTGCCCCCACTATCTCTCCTCCCTCTCTCTCCCCCCTTGCCCCTTCTTCCTTCTCCCTCCATCCACCTCTCTCTCTCCCCTCTTGCCCTCAACAGACTGTGTATGCGTGACATCCAAACTCCCTAACCTTCGTGCTGCANAAACAAACACTAACACTCCAGCAAATCCATAAGAAGGAAAAAAGGGGAAATTACTCAATCTAGTCCAAACTCCAAACACCATTCCTCACCCTCGTAACATTCCCAAGCCTAATGGACTTTCTAAAGGACAGGAGGGAAGAGGCTATTTCAATGTCTGACACAAGCTATAGCACCCACAAAAAGGGGTGCTATAACTGGGAAAAAAATCACAGATTTTTGGGGTGTCTGAGAGCAGGTACTTGGAACGAACACACCAATTTTAATCTTACTGAACAGATAGATGTAATTTAGGAAAGGAGGCTCTGGAGTTATCTAGATCTTGAGAACTAACACTTTGAATTGTAACTGGTAGCTTATTGTAGCCAGCACCGCTCTTAAAGTAGAGAAGATACATGGGTGTAGTGAGTAAGACATGCCTTAGCTTCTCAAACCCCTGCATTCTGGAATAGCTGTAAGTTTTCTATAACTGAAACTGTATGGTCTCACCACTTGGCAGTGCCATGCTAGAGGATATAACATATCGTGACTTAATAGCTTCTTTTCTATCCCTATTAAGGTATCATTTGATCATATATGTATTTGTATGTGCACACACATTTGTCTTGTCCCTTACAGTACTGGGTCACCGAATATACCATGTATGTATGTATGTATGTATGTATGTATGTATGTATGTATGTATGTATTTATGTATTTATGTATTTATTTGATTTCTATTGTTGCCCAACTCGCCCAAGTGAACCACTATGCACTGGAAATGTAGTGGATAAGGGCCAATAAATACAGTTGAATGTTGACAGACAGGGATCTTGTGAATAGCTGGTCCCAAATATGGGAATTGAAAAAAATATATTGAGTTATTCAATTTCCATAGTCATTCAACTCAACCAAGTGACCCTGGGTAGCTTACAATTCTAAAATTATAAAACAAATAAAAACATTTAATAATAATAATAATAATAATAATAATAATAATAATAATAATAATAATAATAATAATAATAATAATAATAATAATCATAATCATAATCATAATCATAATCATAATCATAATCATAATCATAATCATAATCATAATAAAGTTGGAAGGGACCTTGGAGGTCATTGAGTCCAACCCCCTGCTCAGGCAGGAAACCCTACACCATTTTGGACAGATGGCTGTCCAGTCTTTTCTTAAAAACATCCACTGTTGGAGCATTCACCGCTTCTGGAGGCAGGTTGTTCCACTGGTTAATTGTTCTAAAACAATAAGTACAAACAGCAACTGCAATGCTTAAATAACTAATAGTAAAGCCAAGTAACAGGGTTCTTCACACTTAAAACTTTGCAAAAGGTCAACAGAGTATGGGCAGATATACAAAGGAGTTGGGGGATGATGCACCTGATTATCTGAGTAGCTTGAAAAGGACAAATGCAGCAGCAGCTCTGATGCCACTGAGCAGAGTATAGTCAGAAGGAGCCTCAAATCCACTTCTGGACTGGTAGGAAATAAATACCAAGATATACACTTAGGAAACTTTAAGTGTGAATGGATAAATCAATAGGGCTGCAATGAGAGCAAATCATCGGTCCAGCTTTTTATCTGCCAGGGATTAAATTCAATCTCAGCGGAACAGAGTCTACAGCTTAAAAATAGAACTCAGGACTGTCCCCTCACCCAAAATTGCCATAAAATATTTAATCTTTAGAAGGGGAAAATAAATACATTACATTTATATTACTTAAATTGGTGGTATTGAATTCTTAAATTAAGTTAAAGCCATAACAGCCAAATATTGTTCGGAAGTGGCTGAAAATTTTAAGAACTGCAGTTTTTCCAAAGTGAAAAAGCTTACAAGGTTCCAGGGATCCATTTTGCCCCTTACAAATCATCTAACCATCTAAGTAACCCATCCAAACAAACATCCTGAGGAGACATTTCCTCCAGGGTTGCTCTGCAGACACAAAAGCAGTGGTGGGATTCATCCAGTTCGCATCACTTCAGCAGAACCGGTAGCTAATTTTTGGTTGCCCAGGCCCAGAATGGACTTCTGGAAGCAGCATCCACACAGAGAACCTGTTGTTCACATACCTGAATCCCACCACTGCACAAAAGCAGTACTGAAGTGTTGCCTTTTGCCTGAGGGCTCCCCCTTCCCTACTCCTGCTGAGCCCTTGAGGACAGTCCAACGGCAATAACAGGAAAGAGGGCAATGAGATTTTATTGAAACATGACCACATAGAGGCAAAGCACGACTAGAGGCAAATGAAGGAGAGCAATACTTGGGGCTAATTATTAGTGTGGCAGAACCTGAGCCAGTATGGGGTAGTGGTTAAGACATTAGGCTAGAATCCCAGAGATGTTGAGTTCTAGTCCTGCCTCTGGCACAAAGCCAGCTGGATGACTTGGGCCAGTCCCTCTCTCCCACCCCCAGATAGGCAATGGCAAACACTTCTGAACGATCTTGCCAAGACAACCACAGGGAATAGTCCAGGCAGCTAATAGCAGTCAAACACTGATCTGAAAACACAAAAATAATAAATAAATAAAATCTGATAGCTCACTCTTTTACCCCCTCCTGTTAAAACTCTGAAAAATAACAGCAGTCCACTGAAGTTGAAGGAAGCAAAGCAATATGAAGAGGCAAATGGGAAAAGTTGAGAAGACTATGATTAGTCCCCACCGCGGTTGCGAGAAGCAAATAGCATTGTGGACCAGGGTAGACAAGATCCAGAGGGAGGCTTTTAATGTTCTCGCCTAATTCCCAGTCTCTAATTTGTTATCAAACCTAGGCTTTTAAATCACATGTGGTTCACAATGCCAGCATATGAATTGGGGTTGTTGTTGTTTTTCCCCCAAAACACAAAAGTGCAGTCCGCATTGTTGCACTAATCCTCAACATTATAAAAGAGGCTCCTGAGACTGCCTGTGTGGGTTTTGAAAAGAGATTAATTCACAGTTGTATAACAGTAGAATCTCTTCCTGGTCTCTGAGCCCCTGATGGCATAAAGCAGTTAATGGTCCTGAAGAAACGCTGGATTAGAAGGTACTGAAGGCTACTGATTGTTAGTGCTTCTTTAATCTTTTAAATCAATGCGGTAATAATAATATCACTGTAAGCTTCCGCTTAAATCTGGATAATGCATTAGGCATTCACATTTTAAGCATTTTGCTGAGATTCTTTTCATGAGCTTGTTTTAGAAGGTTGGCATCACTTATTAAGGCCTGTACATAGCTGGATTAGAATGGAATGGAACGAACCAATATCAAAATATACTGTACTTTATAAGTAAAGCAAAACAAATTTAAAACCATTCAGAGCATTGGGCCCTGGATATTTTGCATTTTTCTTTTCAAATACTTTTAGTATTTAGTATGTTTCTATAGTTTCTTGGAACAGAAAATATTTTTTAAAAACAAAACAAAACACCCAAAGGTGCTTTTTTCATGAGGCAATTGGATTTTCTCGTTTTTCTTTGAAGATGTTTCGCTTCTCATCCAAGAAGCTTCTTCAGCTCTGACTGGATGGTGGGGAATGGAATCCAGTCAGAGCTGAAGAAGCTTCTTGGATGAGAAGCAAAATGTCTCCAAGGAAAAACAAGAAAGTCCAGTTGCCTCGTAAAAAGAGCACCTTTGGGACAACCGTGACCTGGATGACTGAGGATCTCCATAGACATTTGAAAAAACACAAACTTTAAAACAAAACACGATAATTTGTAAGAATAGGGAGAAATAAAATTTATAATTAAGTAGTACCTAATCAGGTAGGCCATGGTGAATAGTGGTAATTTGGTTCAGAATTTGCAACGCTAAGCAATGCAACTGTAAAGTGTGATATTATGTGACTGAGCCGCTTAGCAATGGCACTTCCAGCAGTCTCTGTTTACCATTGTTTAAGTGAGGACCTTGGGGCTCCTTAAGTAATGGCCTCACGTGATGATCACTTCTGACTTTCTGCTGGCTTCCCCATTGACTTTGCTTATGGGAAGCTGGCGGGGAAGGTTACAAATTGTGATCACATGGCCAGAGGACAGTTGTGACGGTTGGAAATCCAGGCCAGTGGCCACGCATCCAAATTGCAGTTACTGTATGTAACCACAGGGCAATGCACCAGTCAGAATTTTAAAGACCAGTTATAACTGCCACTCATCATAAGTTGAAATGGTCGCTGTATGAGTGGTCATTAAATGAGGACCACCTATACCCACTTTCCCTGGGAGTAAAGCCAGTTGAACTCAGAAGTGCTATGGAATATCATAACACCTAAGTGAAAGCCAATTTGGTGTGGTGGTTAAGGTATCAGGTTAGAAAACAGGAGACCGTGCATTCCAGTCCTTCCTTAGACACAAAGCCAGTTGGACAAGCTTGGTCCAGTTAATCTCTTCAGCCCTAGGAAGGAGGCAATGACAATCCATTTCTGAAAACCTGCCAAGAAAACTGCAGGGACTAGCCCAGGCATTCACCACCCATCAACACTGACTTCAAGGATGAAGCAAAAACAAAAACACCAAAAGTAGCCCGTTGCTGTTTTTAAGGGCTTGTTTTCACTTCTTTACTTTGTTTTTTCTCCACCAGGCTCTGGAGGAATCAGGGGCACGCAGAATACCTGGAGGCTTGGCAAGTGTGAAGAACCAGTTTGAAAAAGGAGAAGCTCAGTACCAATATCAGCAAAAATCTGTACAGGTAAAAATGGAGGAATCATAATAGTTGTTGAATTGTTGAATCATAATGGGGAAACCACGATCCTGATCTCGTGGAAGGCATCTTGTAATGCCAGGCTCTCTAGGTCCCATTTTCACTTAGAAGTGGTGATTATTTCACTCTTTATGAATACACTTTTCCTTTGTCATCTGACGCACATACCATGGGAGAACCACATAAATTTTTACAAAGATCGCAAAGGCTTTGTTGTAAGAGCAGCCACTTGGCTGTGAAAAAATATGATGTTTTTCTTTGGTAAACCATTTCCTGAAATGTGCGCAAATACTGGAAATATTCTGTTTTGAAAGGCTATTGTACCCTAAGGTCCAACAACTGCTCAAATACCAGCCAAAACCCCTACTGCGTAACAGTGAGGCAAACACAATCTGATATATAGTCCAAAATATATGAAAAAGTACATCCCGTCTTTGGGATATAATGTATCAGACATAATTTATCAATAATGTTCATGATAGTGAATTTGCAAGTGACATAAATACATCTGAAACGCTTTTCTGTTAAGCCATTTTCTTACATACGTATGGATATTAGATTATGCCTATTGCAAGGTAATTACAGACTTAAATAATCACCATCTAAACACCTGTCAAATGTCTCACTTTAGAACAATGATCAAGACATAGAACTGATTTACATTCCCCCAAATGCGAACATCTAAACCACAACTTCGGGGTTATAATTCATTGTAAAAACTCTCTGTGGTTTGCATTTATTTCTCTTGAAGCTGTGCAAAGCTTTTCTGTTTGCTCTTTTCTTTGAGACGAACAAGAAAAACGCAAACGCTACTTAGCTGGCAAATGTTAAGTTTAGAAAAATGATTTATGTACTTTATTATTTAATTATCGGATAGTGTTAAAAAAAAGAAGAAGAAGAAAGAGATGGAGGGCATGGTGTAGTCAAAATCACTGCTTCGCTCAACTGAATTATTTTAGTTTGAAAGTGCAGCACCAGTAAAGCAACTTCTGTGCTTTCAAGGTCATCCTGTACAAGGTCACTTCCAGTTTTGCCATTCAGCTGTTAAAGTCCACAGCTAGATGGTTCGCTGCCTTTGGGTGTCGACGTGAGCAGGTTTTATTTACATAAAAATAGAACTATGAATCCAAAGGCGAATCCTCTCCACCTCCAGGGGTGCAGAATAGATAAATTATTAAAAACAATACCAGGGAGCATTTTAAGTTTAATGCTGGAGATATGTGCCGATGGAATCATGGATTTCTCCACTGAGAAATGGAATTAAATTTCATGCACTCTACAATGGCAATACTTCAGCAATGCCATATCACATTGCAAAAAGATGGATGGAAGAGAAAGGGAGGCAGGATGGAGGGCAAAGCTGTGACATATCTCAAGTCTTGGATAGAATCAAGAACAGCTTTTTAGTATATGTGAAACACCTTGAAATATCTCACATTTTATAGGAGCAGAACTGAATCCTGACAAGGATCCCAGAGTGAATATATCATGATGTTCTGTATGTTTGTGGATGTATTCTGTAAATACTGTAAAAAAAAAAGTTTTAATTCTAAAGCTGGTAGAAACCGTATCTACTATGAGCAAATCTTCACACACAGGGTATTCGCCGGAGGAATTAAAGGATTTTAACTGATCCTTTATTGTTTCCTGCAGTCTCCTGTGGCCCCTGAGGAATTGTTCCATATTATATTCAGTTGTTTTCATGTGCATATATGAAACCTGAAATCATATATTCAAAACAAATGGACTTTTTTTCCCCTGAGGAAATGATCAGCAGACAGTCACCACTTGAATTCATTCTTGGGCCTCTGAATGGCCCTGTTACTTTTTTGTTCTCTCTCATCTTGTTCCAACACATCCATTCATGCCATCTAACAAAATTAATTTGTCCTTAGATCTCATTCACTCAGAATATTCTCTAAATCCTCTTTGGTTCTTCCCTTATCACCATTCATTGGTGCGTAACATACAACTTTCATATATTTGAATTGTTACATCATAACTGTCTAGGTTACATTATTTTACCATATTCTTTCAGGCATAACATTTTAATCTTTCCTTGATCGTTAAACCTACCTTTTCGCTTCCCTGCGTGGTTTCATCACTCCAGTCTACAAGAAATGATCACCTTCATTCTAATCTATTTGGCCCTCTCTTTTAGTTCATAGACAGATAACTTATCTGTTTTTTCCATTTCATTCATCAATTTGTGCTTTTTACTATTTTATTATGTAAGTATTGAAATGAACCATTTAAAATATTTTGTGTTGCTTTTTAAATGATCTTCTTATGCCCAGCATGGGACTAAACATTATGCATTATGCAAATCATATCAACAAATCAAGTGTTACCCTCTGTTTTATCACAAGTAACTTAATTTATTTTTTGTTTCTATTGAAGCAATCTGTGACAGAGAGTATACATGCAGGCTACAGTGATGGATGATACTAAAAATGTAAACCTGTGCTTTAAAGAAGAGAACTTCTAGCGGGATAACCTTATAATGGGAATATTTCTAGAAAGAATAGGAGTTTCTGCTAACCCCAAAGACACAAAGACCAACAATTTTAAAACATTTCCAGAGTAGATTACTATCTCTAGCATCTTGGGATGGATGCATGGCTTCTGTTGCTGAGCTAAAAAGTGAGTTTTCTATAGCCTTGCTCAGAGGGCAAACACTATTAAGTAGTATTTCTGTGCAAGGCATAACAATGAGATTGTAGGAGAGCTGTATTAGTCTATGACAGCCAAAACCAGGAGTCTGGTATATCTTTTCCCACTAATAAATTTTATTAAATGATATAAGCTTTCATGAGCTCCTGGTATCTTCATAGAGATGTCCATATAGGGTTTGTTTGATTTTGTTACCCAGTTTGCCTCTGCTTTCTTATAGGGTGTTGCTCTACTACCTTAAAGAGGATATTTTTGAATAGCATGGAAGGCTATTTTATGTCTATAAGTCTACTAAATATGAACATTCTGAGTGGAAGTCTTCTCAAGAACATTCCCATTGGTGGGATAAGAAGACTGGATCCAAACCTTGAAATATAAAAAATAGAACTAAAAAAAAAAATCTAACATAGAATTTAAAGTAGTCACAGAATCAACCAAAACAAAATAACCCAGATAGGGCAGCCATAGTTCAAGAATAATATTTAAAAAGCAGTCATTTTCTTTTGAGTGAAGGAGAAGTTCTCACCTTGGCTGAAGAATTCACAGCATACATGCTGGGTGAGTCTTGCCAATTGAGACACTAGATTGGAAAGGCCCTCCTTTAAATAGCCACCTGTCACATCTTCCTGGCAGGCCCTGTGGATGGATTAAAGCAGAGATCGAGGTATTGTTTTCAAGTGAAACACATGACCGAAATAGGTAGCTACATACTTTAAAGGCAGAAGTAGACTCTGTCCTAAAAAGGAAATTCAGATGAAACCCAAATGGAGAAATGTGATGTTTCATGTCAGAATGCTTCTAAATTCTGGGCATGGTGCATAGAAGCCCTCTGGTTTTGTGGTAGCTATCTTCACCTTAGACTACCTCTTTCATATTTAGAGAGAATAATTCTTTTTAGCTGTAATAATTCAGTGAAACATTTTGGTGGCCCTGTAGATTTAATGCCCAGTTTCACTGATAAGAATCGGACATGCTTCAGCAGAGAAACCAGGATTGAGTTAAAGAGATCATCCCAAATAAGTCTCAATTAAGTCTTTACACTAGGGTTTAATTAAATATATTTGATTGATGCTGGGCTACCAATAATTTCCTGATCTCTCTAAATGTAGCAGAAACAGTATTGCAACTTTCAATATGTTGAAGAGTACTTCTCAGGAGGTTTTTATGCCTCAGCAGCAAGAGGATGGATGCAGCCTGAAGATATATTGGTACTGGGGTGGGGTTCCTGCTGCTGATCACTGTCAAAACAAGTCTTGTGCAGATGAGCAGTGTGTCAGGGCCATAGCACCATAAGAGTGCAATGTGTTGATATGGGAAATAAACTAATTTAGCGCCCACCCTGTTTTGGGCAAGGGTTGTTTTTTTTCCAGTCGTAGTTTGTGGTTCAAACAAACAACAATTCTTTCCTAAAGTGCAGAGGTTGACTTGTTCTCTCATTTTTCGCTTACGAGAAAAATAAAATCTTATTGATATGAAAAAAAAAATAATGTCCCTTAAACATGATAGGCATTTTAATAATAGCATTAGAGAATGTTTTGAAGTCGTTGTGTGACTCTCCCTTATTTGCCCTTTCTTGATGCATGTATTAAAAGTTGTTTCTTACATTGGTAGTCTAAAGCTAGCTGATTTTGCTGTTGTGGGGTAGTCAGATATTTCCCTCTCTGCCTCCCTTTTTAAATGTAGTTCTCCCCTATCCAGAATCAAAGCATCAACAAGTGCCCACAACAATTAGTTGTGCTAGCATTGCTGACAAAATTCTGTAACTAATTTGTGCTTTGAGTCTCATTGCCTATGAGCAAGCTTCTTTCCAATAACCTAAATGGACAAATTCATGCAGTTTTTAGCACTTTATACATAACTGGTTTAAATTATTCATTTATTTATAAATGTACATACTACCAATCCCAATGGCTCAAGGCAGCTTATAAAAATACATGTATGACATATACAAAATTCTAAAGTTAAATATTAAAAGCTTTAAAGGCTCAACCACATTAAAACTCTAAAAGGCTTGGATAAAAGAACAGATTTTAACTTACACTATAATATGAAAAAGGTCTACCTCAACTCCAATAGCAATTGATTCCTGCTATGAAAAAGCCAAATATGATGTTGCTGTTGCACTTATTTATAATGGGACACCAGAAGTTTGTGAGGTTTGTATGATTAGCATGGGAGCCATGCAAGGGTTTTTACACACAGTGAGTGTTTTCTGAATGGGGCTCAGAAAGCAACTGGTTTTTCATGGAGATGATGGAGCACTTTGTAGAGGGCCATGAGTAACCACAATTTCTGAACCATCTTCAGTGGCCACCCTACTAAAAGTGATCCATGATATGAGCACATGTGCCACAATGAGGGTGTGACTAAAGTTCCACTATTGCTATATGGTTGTCCACCACTAATGCCAGTTTATGGAGGTCCCCCATTCTGCAAACTTTTTGATAAGGGGGACTGAATCCTCATCCAAAGTAGGCATGTTCATTGAATCCTGGAATCCAATCCATATCTAATCCAATCATAGTCTAGAATCAGCAACAACTCTGCCTTGTCGATAAGGATCTTTAACCTGTTCTCTTCATCCACTCCACTGTTGGGGGAAATGTGGAGAATCCAAACCTGAATCCATAGAAAGTGAGAAGTACATCTGAGCATCATCTGCTATGCAGATCCAATTAGCTCAAAATATATGGATGATCCTACAAAGGCTTGATATAGACCTTAAATAACATAAGAGACGAGACAGAGCTCCCTCTTAAGGAGCTGAGCAATATTATTACATTCTGATCATACCCAACAGATAAGAATGAAACTACTATAAAGTGCACTTTCCCACTTTAGAGAGATACTGTGGTTAACAACATCAAAAGTCGCTGATAATTCTAGAATTAAAAACAGGGTCATATTCCTCTAGTTTTTCTTCTGGTAGGGATCATCCATCAGAGTGACTCAAGGCAATATCTGTGCCAAGTCCAGTTATGACTTCAAATTGAAAAGCATCTAGATAGTCAGCTAACTCCAAGACCTCCTGGAGCTGCAGCACTACTGCCTTCTCCACCAGCTTGGCTAAATGTGAAATATTGGATATTGGCCAAAAGTTGTTCCAGTTGGCTGGTTCCAAAGAAACTCTGCCTGCTCCAGCAAAGTGTTAATTAGCTACACAGTCTTCTGAGGTCCTTGTAAGT